CCCCACACGCATCATTAAAACAACAATGAGATCCCACTAACACACCTGAGAGAATAATTGAATCCAGAACGCTACCACCACCTATGCTGGTAAGGCTGTGGAGCCACAGGAACTCTCATCCATTGCTGCTGGGGCTGCAAAATGGCACAACTGCTTGGGAGGACAATTGGGCAGTTTCTCATAAAACTAAACATGCTCTGACCATGGCATCCAGCAATTGTACTCTTTGGTGTTGCCCAAATGAGTCAAAAACTTAACACCTACACAAAAAAACCTGCACATGAATGTTTACAACAGCTTTATCCAAAATTGTTCCAGTTTGAAACCAATAAGATGTCCTTCGGTAGGACATCTTCAGCAGGTGAATGGGCAGACAAACTGTGGAGCATCCAGACAATAGAACAGTATTCAGTGCTAAAAAGAAATGAACTGTCAAGCTATGAAAAGACATGAGCAACCTTACATGCATACTACCAAGTTTAAAAAGTGAATCTGAAAAGGCTGTGTGCCATATGATTCCAACTACATGACTCTCTGGAAAAAGCAAAATTATAGAGACAGTAAAAAGATTAGGGGTTGACGGGTTGGAAGGAGGGATGGATGAATAGATGGCACAAAGGGTTTTTAGGGCAGTGAAACTATTCTGTGTGATACTATAATAGTGAACACATGTCATTGTACATTTGTCCAAACCCAAAGAATGTACAACACCAAGCATGAACCCTCATGCAAACCATGGCCATTGGTTGATAATGATGTGTTAATGCTGTTTTACTGATGATAACATTCACACCACCCTGGTGCTGATGTCAATGATGTCAGAGTCTACGTATGGGGGTGGGGAAGGGGCTGTGGAAATTCTGCACTTTCTCCTCAATTTTACTGTGTTCCTAAAACTGCTCTTTAAAGAATCTACTAATTTTTTAAAAATCTACCAAGAAAGATAGACATAGTACAAAAGTAAGACTTCATATTCACCTCAACTTCCCAGTTCTGCGTCCCTGAGGCACATACAGTTAATAAAATCCTGTGTGCCTTTCAGAATTTCTATACATATGTAAGATGAAAACTAGTTATGATGGTCCCATAGTATCCTTTTTCCTCTTCCCTTTATTAATAGAATCAAGGGAGTTTTCACCGGGAACTTGCCCAACCTACTAGCAACATCTCCCAGGCACCCTTGCTGCTAAGTAGGGCCACTGGACCACAGAACATGAACAAAATGATGCATGTTCTGTAAGAGGAAAGTACTTCTGTCTGTTTCTCTTCCCACCCTTCCTTGTGACTGAAATGTGGCTCTGGTGCTCTGTACCAGCTCTGAGTCCAAGGAGGAAAAGTCCCCTCTGGCAGTGGGCCTGACACTTCTACATGACATGGAGCCCTTTGACATCTGGTGATGCTATGGGCTCCTTTACAGGCAAATGGGTTTAAATGTGTGAAATTAAGACAAAGGACTGCAGAGGCAACACTCTCTACTGACATACAGTTATCAAAATACTTGTAAAATGTATGTTAGAGTAATATCTATGCCTCATCAAGAATGCACTAAATAATAAATTCAGACTGAGACTAAAATAACTGCTTAAGTTTCAAGCTGGGTGAGCACACATGATATTTTGAGATATCTGCAACAACTGTGACGTGACATGAGAATATTTCATTTCAACTGGTTGCAAAGTCATGGTTTCTGCAAATACTGCTGAGGCTTGCTGCCTCTGTTCACAATGGAAGGACACATTAAGTTTCAACTCAAGTTTGGTGAACACACAGATATAGAGCGTCTTCCCATCCCAGCTCACAAACCCCTGCCTTCTCTCTGAATGTGTCAAGGAAATGCTCTGGCTCTCTGAGAAAGAAACAGCCAGAAGAGGAAGGACTCTGGAACCTGGACACCTGCATGGGAGAAGGCTACTCCTCTTCTTAACCACCTGCTCATGTCTGGACTGCTGCATGACAGCGACGGAACTGGCTCCAGCTGCTGTGTTGTGGGTCTCCCTATTTGCAGTTTAGCCCAAGTGCTGACTGGTACATGCGCATATTTTTAAACAATCAAATGGGATTACACTGAACATACAGTATAGAGGTAGTTATGTATTGATTCTGGAAGCAAATGGCCTGAGTTCCAATTTCAGCTCTCTCACTTTCTGCTGTGTGGCTTTAGACTAGTTACTCAACCTCTCTGAGTCTCAGTTTCCTTACCTGTGAAATGGGGATAATAATAGTACCTAGCTGATAAGGTCATTGTGAGTGTTGATACGTGGAAAGTGATTAAGGAAGTACCTGGCTATCATTACTATTGTACTCATAGGACAATTTTTATTTGACTCCTTGCGATTGTCACCATCTTAGGCAATTTTCCGTACAGGATATATAAATCTGGTGGCTGTTGTTTTTTCTTTTTCAAAATCTGCATAGTAATTCACTGAATAAATATGCTAAAATTCATTTACCCAGTCCCCAGTTACAAAGTGAACATTTAGGATGTCTCTAGAAGTTTCACTTAAAAGGTTAATATAGCAGTGATGCAGGAGCTCTCTGACACTATCCCACCAGACCTTATACCACAAGATTCCGCATCAACTTGACCTGATGTCTAATTTACACACAATAAAATATGCCCGTTTTAAGTACACAGTTTATGAGCTTCAGAGTATTTTCTAAGAATAAGACTGCATATATAAGAGAGCTTTAAAAAGCTGAATTATAGCAAATGCAAGGTATGGATATCATTCCTATAGACATATACTTACACTATTCGCTTACTATTGATCTGAATGGTTCCATCCTGAAACAGAGCTGTGGGGAGCAACTTGATTGCCCATGTCTTGGGCAATAGACTTGCATCTGGCAACGCACCCATGCCCCATCCAGTCCTTGACCTTTGGGAACACATCTGCATATCTCCTTTCAGTCTAGTTTATTCACATGGCTTTCTTTTTTCTTAAAAATTGTAGGTTGTATTTAAAGACTGTTTTCTTTAAATAATATACAGTATAATTCTATATTAATAAGTTTTTTAGTCTATCCTTACATTCAAAGCATTTTCTTTTCCAATCATTAGATATTATTCAGATGAATTGTAAACATAGGTATAGATCCCTTCATATAGGTATCATAAAGTTCTTGAACTTTCTCTATTAGACATTCTAAACATCTAATAGCCAATTTTTTAAGCCTTATGCAAGAATTTTTTAATATTTCTGATTAGTTTGTTACTGGTAGGATAGATTTCTAGGAGTAGAATTGAAGGGTCAAAGGGTATGAACTTCTTGCCAAATTTCCCTTGACATTTCATGTCAATTTACATTCTAACAAGTCCTACATATGACTCATTAGAATTGAATGTTTCTCTATTTTAATTCTTGCCAATTGACCAAAAATGCTATCTCATTTTTGCTTTGGTTTATTTTCCCTGATTAGTGATACAGTAGATGACTTTAAAATATCTATTGATTTTTTGTTTGTTTGTTTTTCTTCATGCTCAAACTGTCTGGCCATGCTTTCTGTCAGTTTTTCTATTTTGGTATGAAGTGATTTTCTTACTGATTTATCAAAGCTCTTTATACGTTAAACATACCAACCTTTTGTCCACCATATTTATTAAAAACATCCTCTGCTAGCCAGTTACATTTTAATTAAATTAGGGTTGTTCAAAAAAATTTATGTAGTAGGAAAAAACCTTATTTTTTAAATTTGATGTTTTAAAAAGAACTTCCCTATTCTGCAACATGATAAAGATCAGTCTTCATTCACACTCCTCATACAGCACTTAATAGATGTGACCTCCTCAGGAACATTGTCTCTGATTGGGCTGCATCTCCCAGTGCTACATACTCAGCACCACATGCCCATCGCTGGTTACACTCATCACAGTGGCAGCTTTACATGTATGTGTTTATAAACCTGGAAGAGGCAGGAACCACATCTCTATGTTGTCCACCACTGTATTCCCCAAACCTGGCAAAGAACCTAGCACTATAAATATATTTTCTATTTTTTCAATGTTTTTAATTTTTACATTTAACTCTTCAATCACCTGGGAATATATTTTACTGTCGAGCGTGAAAAAAGTTTCTATCTTTATTTTTTCCCTACCATTTACAGAAATAATCCTTCCTTTTCCCATTGTTGTGATACACACTTTATCATATACCAAAAAAAGTATATACTTTTTTGTTTGTTTGTTTGTTTGAATCTCACTCTATCGCCCAAGTTGGAGTGCAGTGGCACACTCAAAGCCACTACAGCCTCAATCTGCAGGGCTCAATCAATTCTTCTACCTCAGCCTTCCAAGTAGCTGGAACTACAGGTGCATACCACCACATCCAGCTAATTTTTTGATTTATTGTAGAAATGAGGTCTCGTCAAGTTGCGCAGACTGGTCTCAAAGCCCTAGACTCAGGCATTCCTCACGCCTCCACCTCCCAAAGTGCTGGAATGACAGACATGAGCAACCACGCCCAGCTAAAATGTATACACATTTTAAGCGATGCTGTCTATGTATTACTTTTCGAAGTTTAATTGAATTACAGTAGCAATGTGTAGTAGGATGTTCACTCAAATGCTAGCATCACCATGAGATAGGCAGGTATATATTGAGTATTAAAATTTCAATACAGTTTTTCCCTTTCTTAAAATGTGTATGCCCGCTGTAAATGTATGTGCACACATTCACACACATATCTACTCAGTGAATTCTTACGACATTGTATCTGTGATGGGACTCCTTGTGTCATGTTGCTCTACCTGTAGAAACTGCCAGCATGGTGCTGTTTTGATAATTGTGCAACTAAATTATGTTTTAGCATCTGACAGGACAAATCTCTTCTCATTATCACTTTTCCCCTAAATGTGCTTGCTAACATCACTTGATTAAGCTGTCTTTTGACAAAAGACACACTTTAAAATAAACTCTTAAATTAAAATGGCAGGGAGCTCCATGCTCCTTTCTCTGCTTTAATTTCATGAGTTGTCCCTTGGCCATATGTGTGTCCACTCACTTAAGCAAGCCAGCCCGATGAAAGATGTAGAGGTCCTGCTCCAGGGTGCAGTTGTTGAAGGGGACCATCTTCACGAAGTTCTGGATGAGGGCGAACTCAGGGGTGAGGTGGGGCAGGGAGATGATGCAGAAGGTCTTGTCCTACCATCATGGAAAACCAGAACCCAGGGAAAGAATCAGAGATAATTTGTCAATAAACCAAGTCCTGCTTCAAAGGAAGCAGGACTTTTCCAAGGAAAATAGAAGCACAGTGCACGAATTAAGGAGAGGACACTTGGATTGAACTAGCCTGTATTTGGAAAGCAATCACATGAAATTCAGGGAGATAGGCAACCACAAGAGGATGGAGAGAGTATCAGTGAGTCTGACTGAAACCTAAGTAAATGAATCTTATGAACAATGACACTCATTCAGCACAGCTCTTTTTACAGAAGTAGATTTTTAAGCCACGATCATTTGCATTTACGAATTCACTTACATCACCAAGTAAGTGAGGCAGCATGGTGTCCTAGCAAAGGCCCTGTGCTTGCCAAGTGGCCATACCCCAGTTGGGGCCCTCCCTCTGTGATAGGAGAGGGTGATATCCAGGGGTGATGAGGGTGAACTCAGGGGTGAGGTGGGGCAGGGAGATGATGCAGAAGGTCTTGTCCTACCATCATGGAAAACCAGGACACAAGGAAACAATCAGGCTAAAATCCTGTGATTAGGCTGGGCACAGTAACTCATTCCTGTAATTGCAGCACTTTGGGAGGCCAAGTCAGGAGGATCACTTGAGGCAAGGAGTTCAAGACCAGCCTAGCCAACATAGCAAGACCCTGTCTCTAAAAAAAGAAAGAAAACACAAATTAAAAAATAAAATAAAATCCTGTGATTATACATAAATGGATGTGTGTATATTTTTTCATGACACGGTCTCATCAAGGGCATGATCCAAGAGCATGTTTAACCCCAGGCAGAGGGTTTCCTTAGCAGACACGGGGGATCATGTGTCCTGATAGATGCCACTCACCTTCTATTCTAGACCTGCTGTGCCACAGGGTATCCAATGGCCACATCTGGCCACTGAGCATGTGGAATTTGGCTAATGTCATGGAGGAATGGAATTTTAAACTTTATTTCATTTAAATTCACTTAGAATTTAAATTTTAAAACTGATGATTCCATTACTGGAAAAGTTTTTTGTGTACTTAGGTTATGTGAATCTTATCCAACTTGAGTATGTAAATCTATAGACCTAACTGTAAATTTTTTGAAATCTAAATACAGATCAAGTATCTCTGATGAAATTTAGTACTTGTATTATAATGTGCTATAAAAGTAAAATTCACATTGAATTTCAAAGACATATTATGATGAAATGAATGTAAATTGCTCACTAATAATTTCTCATATTGATTGCAAGTTGAAATGAGTCAGTTTGGGACATATTAAGTTAGATGAAATATAATGTGAATTTATTTGATCCTCTTTCTTCTTCCCCGTGGCTGCTGGAGCATTCGGAATCTGTGATGTGGTTTGCACTCCACGCCTATGGACAGTGCTGCTCGAGGCTGTCTGGGCTCCACGCAACTGCTTGATCCTCTGCCAGGTCCCTGCAGAAGCAGCCTGCTCTTCCCAGAGCTAATTTGTCCCTCTGGGATCTCGCCTCCCCTTGAACCCTGTGAAGGCATTACCTGTGCTAATCCAAAACCCTGGGGATATCAGTGCAACCCAAAGGAGTAGTGAATCACTGTTTGACCTCATCTTCCTTCTTTCTAGCAAAATAACTTGACTCCTTTTTGAGAACTTGAGAGTCATGTTGCTGAAACACTCAAGCTGAAAACAGGGGTTGGGTGCCAAGTCTGGGTGGGCTTCCTTTGGGAGAAGGAGACTAACTATAATGAGTTACTTCAACTTGAATTTGAGAGATTAAGGATGAAGCAATCAAGGTATTTTGTTTCTAACGCCTCATATCCTGAAATCAAATAGAATTTAAATGTAAACAGGTCTTTTACCTTTTTAAAGCAAGCATTACTTATATAATACTAAATATTTGCCTTTACTTGGACTTTAAAATAGGAGGAAACTTAGTGAAATCTCTCTGAGGAATCTTTGAAGGAAACAGGCTTGTCAATCCTTTGTTCAGGGTAATCTACATTGCTTTGAAAACGCCTTAAAATCAATCTTTAACATTACAATGGATAACACGCTGCCTTATTGCAAAGCCTCATTACATTTTTATTTATTTATTTTTGAGTTAGAGTCTCACTCTGTCGCCCAGACTGGAGTGCAGTGGCCGCTCCCGGCCACAGCAGCCTCGACCTGCTGGGCTCCTGCAATCCTTCCACCTCAGCCTTCCAAGCAGCTGGAATTACAGGCGTGCGCTATCATGCCCGGCTGATTTTTTGATTTATTGTAGAAATGAGGTCTCGCCGCCCAGATGGGTCTCGAACCTGCGGGCTCAGGCAATCCACTCACCTCAGCCTCCCAAAGGCGCGGGATTACAGGCTGAGCCACGAGCCCGGCTCATTACATTTTTTAAAATGAGAAAACAAACCCTAAGATCATGTGGTGTGTAGGCAACATAATTAAAGATATTTGTTTCTGCCTCATTAGAAAGAGTATCCAGGAAAAATATGGGAATGGAAATTTTGCTTGAAATAAGCCAACTGAAGAAGTACAGCTGTTGACTGACTTAACTGACAGGCCAGTCATGGAGAAAGTCTTTTACAAAACCCATTTGCCCCTCGACTGTCTTCATTCCCACTTGTTTCCCTTTAATGCAGTGATAGCAGTTTGCTTAGCTCTCTATCCCTTGATGACAACAAGGAAGGAAAGTAGGGCTGAGCCTTTCTCTAAGCCAGGAAGGAACCAGGCCTGAGGAACCAGCAGAGAAGAAACACCAACCTGAAGGTCAGCCACAAGCTCTGGCCTTCCTACCCTCAGAAAAGCAGTGTGAGAGTTTAGAATGCTCTGAGCCAACACAATCTAACAGACTCAGGGACTTTGTACTTTCTGGCATTGTCATATACTACTATGCATGATTCGATTCTAATGAAACACTGGTAAAGCTCTCTAAAGAAAATCGTGCACTTAAAGAAAACTGCTAAAATAGCATGACTGAAGAACTATTGAAAATGGCGATATTTTCTGTTTTAAGAGCACATGACATGCCATTTGACTCTATTCTCAGAACACAGAAGCAGTTCAAATTTCAACATTCATAGCATTTTTGAATAATGAATATGGCATTTTACTTTTCTATAACTTCTCTAGTGTATAAAACTAGTTACACAAAATTCAGTGTGTACTTACAGGAAAAAGTCTGAAAACAAAATTCATAAAATCCAGCGACCTAGAAAGAAGACAGTAAATATTGTCACTTCCCTGCAAGCAAATGCAGCATCGTGGGTATTTACACAGGTTTATGCCTCTTCCCCTCAGGCCGCAATTAGCCAACCACTAGTCAGAATTTGTGTCTAGCTGAACATTAATCGGTGCACAAGTCATAAGCCTCATATGTCATAAGCTTTCTGTAGAGCTGAAGGCTCTGTCACAGCAATTCATAATCTCTGTACATTCAGAAAGTCAACAAAAAGATGGTCATTCTGCAAACACACTTTCCTTCCCTTTTGGAAGCATTGAGGGGGGATGTGGGTGATACAATAGATGACTTTGATCTTTTCCTCTTTTGTATGAGAAAGATTTTTCTGGTCAGCTGCAGATGCATGTTCACAGGCAAACCATATTGGGTCATCACATTTGTTTCAAAATCCAAAAATTATATTCTAAGCACAATCACGTCCAAACGAACATGAAAAATATAAAGCAACACATCTAGAAGGGTTTTGCAGGTTTTGAGATGTCTACAATATAATTAAAATTAAAAGATTTCCCTTTTCAGTCCCCAAGATCTATCTGAAGGCCAAAAACTTAAGATGAAACAAGTAATAGTAAAGCATGGTTCTAAAGGAGGCTGGGAGGCCAGGAATGTGTTTAGATCTTCTAAAAGGAAAATGTCCAGCACTCTTCCTGATCATCTAATAGATGATCCTTTCTGATCATCTAAAAGATGATCCCTGTAAACCTTCTGCTTCACAATAGGACACTCTTGTCCTCTTCCAGATGGTTCTTGGACACGTGATGGAGTGGGTGGAAAGCTAGAGAGAGGAGAGTTAAGGCACAGAGGGCAGCAACCTTATTAGATGTGGGGGCAGCAAGCATAGCACGTGGATGTCATGGAGGGGTGGAAGATGAGTGATCTGGTGGACACCTGGACTTTGTCTGCCTGGCACTATGACCCTCCTGGCTGTGCCCTGTGTTGCTGTGGGTTCTCCACCCACCTCCTCTTGGATCTTACATTTGGGTGAGGCCTCAGTCACAGATTCAGGGCAGAGCACGAGGCAAGGGACAGAGCCCATCTCCTGTATTGGGGCTGTTCAGACCCATTGGCTCAGGAATGAACACACAGTTCAGGTAGGGCTCATGGGACTCTGGCTGGATGCTGGGCCCAAACCAGAATGTCACTGGGTTTTGGTACAGACCTGAGACTGTCAGTGACCCTGGCCCCAGGATGGGGACACTCCTCTGAGAATGGGGTCAACATCAGGGAACCAGGATGAAGAGGTAAAGAGAGACTTGGTCCTTGATTTGGTTATCTAAGTCCCAGATCAAGCCGTATTTAAAGAAGTCCTGGAAGCGGCCATCTCTGGTCTTGACCAGAAGCATGCTTCCCGATGAGCAGGCTGCAACCTTTGATGGTCCCTCTCCTTTTCCAAATTAAAAAATAAAATAAAAGCCCTACCACTGAACTTATCCGTAGTTATGTGAGGCAATTATTCCTTTTTTTTTTTCAGTCAGCTTGGATGACTCCCGACAAGCAGCAAGCCAAATCTAAGGTTCCCAAGAAACATAAACTTTAGAGAACAGGAACAGCGTGTGGTTACGTTAGTGATCATTTTCCAGATCCCCAACTGCTATGTGGGTGAGCTGGGCCTGGGCAGCCTTCTTGCCCACTCCTGTGGGCCTTACCAAAATGTTACGGACTAGAATCTTGGGATAGGACCCAGAAATCTGTGGTTGTAAAAAAAGTCCCCAAGAAATTAGGATGTGGGTCCAGGTTTGGAAACCACTGGTTCTGCAAGATTGTAATGCTGGCCACTACTACCATGAAACTTTCCTCCCATGACAGATAAGCTGGAGGCCACACCCACCTGGCTTCATGCTTCTCATCAATACAGAACAGCTGAATACAGAAGGCGGCTGAGGCTCCCCTGTAGATGGGGCGGAAGTGGCTTGGCTCTTCAGACAGCAAGACAGATGCTGAGGTTCTACTGCTGATTCGGTGATCTGTCGCATATCCAGTGGAACCTGAACTGAGTTTCTTTATGTCCTAGAGCAAGGAGAGAGGAGGAGCCCATGGGAACCCCATCTGTTTCCTGCAGTTCAGTGACCGGAGGTTGTACCATCTCTACACTGCACTGTCCTAGGAGGGTTGTGACTGTCTCACCTAAAATGACACATCTTGAGCCAGGCCTGTTTTAGGGAGATGTTCTTAATGAGATATTCAAAATTTATCAAATGATGAAAACTACCTCTCACACAAAGGTCAGAAAACAAATGGTTTCAGCAGGCCTTGGACATAGGATCCATATTTTAACCACATCCCTGGGTAGAGATTGGAGCGTGGGAGTATCCTATACATATTAACCCTGAGAGCAAAATACCTCTGTCCTCAATATTGTTTTCACTGTGATTTTGTGATACAAGAATTTGTGAATGTTGGGACAGGTCAGCTGGTCAGGCAGTCCTAGGGATTGCTGTAGTGACGAGGTGGAGTCCAGGGAGGTCCAACTGACCACAGCCACATGGACATCAGTGCTGGGACTGTCCAATCTCATTTTAGGTGCATCTAAGGTGTCACAACTCAGAGAAAAATGATGCATCTTGAGATCCCTCTTGGAGTTCTTTCAAATCAAAGTAATACATGCATACAGTCAAATTTAAAATAACATTAGCACTAAACATTTATAAGGAAAATCAACAGTCCCCTGGCCCCCAAGTTTCTATCTCCATTGAATAACAACACTTTCAACTTTTTTACTTTTTGCCTTTATATTTCTGAACAATGTGCTTATGCTGCTATTTCTTAATTTGCCAATTTTTGACACTTCCAACTGGATTTTGATATGATGGATAGATTTAGTCTCTTATACTACCCTGTTCCCCACATCCTACCCCCCGGGTTAGTCACATCACAACTCAGGGTCACATGGGTAAGTTCTTATACTATCTTGAATATATACGTGCTGTTGGCTGTTGCTAAGCAAAGTGGTGCAATGTGACTATGTTTCACTTGATTTCCTAATTTTTTCACGTGCTCTATTAGATTTGCCAAGTCGATATTATTTTCCCAACACATGGGCATTGAGATAACACATGAACTCCACTTCCCTCCTCCCACCTGACTCGACCACCTACTGGCAGCCTGCTCTCTTGTTGTGGCTCCTGTTTCTGAAGTGCAAGGTCTCTTGTTTGTGTTTCTTCCTATTATATTGCTAGAGCACATTTTTGGCTTCCTAAGAACAACAGTGCTTGGGAGGCAAAACCCCACAGCCTTGAGCTATCAGGGCATTTGCAGGTTGATCAGGCCTGGCATCTCCAGTGGCATTATCTGAAGGCCTTTCCTTTGGGCCCATTGGTTTTTGAGAAAGTAAGGGCTCCAGTCTCCTGCATGAGGGACTGTGGTAGACAGAACGGTGGCCTCCAAAAATGTGCCTGTCTTTGTCTTTAGAACCTGTGAAAATGTTATACCACAGGGCACAGGCACTTCCCAGATGTTGCCATATTAAGGATTTGAGATGAGGAGATGGCCCTGCCCCATCCATGTGGGCCCAGAGTCATCATAAGGATCCTCACAGAGGGAGGCAGGAGGGTAAGAGTCAGAAGGAGGAAGAGGCTGTGCTGCTGGGTCTCAGGGTAGAGGAAGGGGCCACAGGCAAGCGCAGATTCTTCCCCAGGGCCCCAGAGGGAATACACCCCCATCTACACTTGAAACTGATTTTGGACGCCTGACCTCCAGAACTGTATAATAATACATTGGTGTTGTTCTAAGCCACCAAGGTTATGGTGATTTGTTACAGCAGCAACAGAAAATGAAAACACAGACCTAGCTCCTGGCATTCAGAAAGGAACTGGAAGAGTGGCTAAGGTTCCTCTATTTGAAATGGAAACTCTGTGTACTTGTCTATTCTCTGTCCTACCCCCACGACACCCTTCGTGAAGTGCAGGCTGCATCTGGGTTGGGAGTAGCCTCTGGCTGGTTCTCCACAGCACAGTCACCTGGTCACCCCATGTGGGGTGTGGCTGGCAGGCGATATGGAGGCAGCAGGGAATCTAGTATTCCAGTCCTTCCACCACCTCAGTCCTTCCACCAAACAGACCCCAGGGTCAGCCCCATCCCCCCACCCC